GGGCTCCTTAAAAGAGAATTCCCTGAAGAAGAACACTTCAGAGGACGCAGGAGAAAACGAAATGGCGGCCCTATGGCATCAGACCAAAAGAAATGGCCAGGAAGAAATTGAGTTGGATGATTTTAGTGGTGGAGGACCACATCAGACCTACAAAGGCGCTTCAGAGGGGATTTGGATGCCAGCGTCCCCGACAAAGGCCGAAAACCCAGAGACTTTAATAGTGGTACATAAAGGATCGGAGATTATAACGGGAAGAAACCCGGAGAAAAGTTGTAGAAACCCTTGGGAAAATGAACCTATGGTGTTGGGACGTCAGGAGGAAGAGGAAGCGGTTGGTGACGAAGCTATGAAGTAGACGCCTAAGGATGAGAGGCAAAGGCAGGAGACGCCTGAGGATGATGTGAAGACCAGGAGTGGCGGGCGAAGAGATAGATGGGTTAATAATAATTAAAAACTTGAGTGCCTTCATGAGATTACTGAGCAAGATTGATGAAGAGATATTGGAAATCGATGCCAGAATGAAAATGGCCCCTGGTCTCGTTAATAGGACTGTTAAAGAGACTTTGATGACACCGGATGTCTACAATATGATTACTGATAATATCCTACGAAACGCTGTCCCATGTAGTTTTTTTATCAGACCATGGACTACTTGGAAGTAGAAGACAAAGAGCTCACCCTGGTTTTGGCGGCCTTTTTGAGGGCCAAGAAGGAGAAGGGACTTTTGTCAAAGCTTCAGCTCAAAACTTTTGTTTTCATATATATATATATATATATAAATGATAATTAGTTGTGCCAAAGAGGGGTTTTTGTTTAAATGTTCTGTGTTGCGGTGAGAGGAAACACTTAAGCCCTGAGAGGAACTGGTTGTATCTGCCCATTCCACCGGCACCCACCACTGGGCAAACACCATCTCCAGCACAAGAAGCCACGTTGACAAACATTAAGTTTGTCACTTGTAAATACACATTAATTGCTGTAACAGAAATCTGGCAAAAAAACATAATTTCATAACCACCTTACTTGAAAAATTGTTATTTTTATAAATAAAATGTGTTTTTAGGAATTTGTTTTTATTACACTACATCCCATATCACTGAAAAACAAGAAATAAAAGCTTTTCAACTGTTAATTGTAGTCATTTTTGCTGAAAACACAAGTACGTTTAGGTGACTGGATAGAAAATCACATCATTTCTTTACACAACTTAAGGTGAATCTTAAAATTTTTCCAAATAAACCTCAACTTCATTAATATGACCTTAAAGCTAATTAAATGAGTAAGTTTTTTTTTCTAAATTTCCTACTTTTCTGCTATAAATTGAGCAATTGTTTATATAAACTTTTTTGATAACTTTTTTAATTTTTCTCTCTTTTATGGGGTTGAGCTATGGGGCTCCACCAAGCCTTCAAATTCCTCTCGCATACAGTCCTTGCAATCCAAAATCCTTCGTAAAATCCTCAATGCTCCTTACTTTGTTACAAATAAAATTATCCATAATGACCTTAATGTTCCTTATGTATCAGATTTGGCCCAATCCAGATATCTGTCCTTCCATAATAAACTTCATAACCATCCCAACCCTCTTGTCTCTAACCTTGCTTCCTATTCGATTCCTGATAACCCTCCGAGGCGTCTGAAAAGAAGATGGCCACGTGATCTTCTAATATAGACATATTATTAGAGTGCTACCAATGGGTAGTTTCTCAACATGTGTTCCATGTCTTTATACCAATGTGCAAATTTACTAGATGTATTTTTTTTGTATACAGTTGTAAATATCATTTAAAATAAATAAAAAAAAAAAATTTTCTCTCTACTTATGGAACACCTTGTATACCAATTCATAATAGGTTTGTTTTAATAAATAATGTACGATGTTTAATGCTAAAGCTAAACTTTAATGAATTCAAATTACCACATTTTCAAACATAAGACTTTACATTATTTTTCTGTGATAAAATAAAATATGAATTTATCTATTTGAGATCCTCTCCTTTGAAAATGTGATATGATTTAAAGGTGATATTCCAATACTATTTTTGTTATATAAGTTATATTTTCAGGCAGTGGCATAAAAAAAATAACTTTCAAAATAAATAGAATCCCTAAGATAGTTAATATAAATTATTTTAATTTATATTTAGGAAATCTGTAGTTTACCCAATTTCAAACATGTAGTAAAACAGTTCTGTTCATGTATAGAAAATTACTTTTGAAATGGGTGGTCAGTAGTGGAGAGAAGTTCGTAACAGTCACCGGATGTCTGTTTAGTCATTACTAAGTACACAGTTTGCTTAGTGATTACTGGGCTGACTGGGTACTGATGTTACTCAGTGAAAAAATAAACATCACTTCTTTGTCTTGACATTCATACAGAAACAGCTACCATAGGAAAGGGAACTGTCATTTTTAGTCATTATAACCAAAATAGAACGACATTAATCTCAGATATGTAACTTCACTTTATTTTGATGGAAGAAGAAATCATACACAACAGTACAGATCAGTTGAATAAATGTATTTAGTTGTCTTGCAAGTAATACACATGACTATAAGGAATACCTTAATAAACATTATTATTACTGTTAATTTACTTCCATGCTATCTTGATTAAGAACAAGATAAAAATAGCAAAGTTTGTCATCTAAATATATAATTAGAGACATTATGTATAATATGATCTACATGTTATACCAATGTTTTTTTTTTATAAATAAAAAACAATAAATGTCTAGATTTTACAATATTAAAACATTACATATATGTCTAAAATTATTTAATATTCATTGTTTAACAGATTATAAAATAAAATACTCTATTTATTTATATCTATTATCTCTCATCTCATTCTAAAATATTGAAGTAATTAACATAAATAGTAAATGTGTGCGTAAGAAAGGGGAGGTGAAAGCAAAATGCAATATTTAATTACTGAAATAAGTTAAGTGAATGATGTTTATTCCTCTAAAAACAACATTAGAAGCAGAACATCCTAACATTAATGATTTAATATTAATCTGTTTAAATGTTATTTTTCTAACTAATGAAATAAATATAACTGTTTATTCTGGTAGAATTTTGCTTTATTATTTTATTATAAAGTAAAAAGAATGTGATAAAATAAATATATATTAAAAACAAATCAAAGAAAGTTATCTAAGTACTTAACATTGGTAGAGGCATTTATTCTATTTTAAATGGAAGATCGATTGATTTAAAAAGAAAAAAAGTTAGAAAAAAAAGAACTAAAACAAAATAATTAAAAAATTATTTCAAGGCACATACAAAAAAATTCAACATTACAAATATCAAAACATTATTTCTAACAATATTAAATATTTCCATTTGAACAAGAGAAAAGCCTCGTAGGCCTGCTATCACTATTAAGCAAAATACAAAAAATTTATAAACATTGTTACATTCACATTTCACTTTATTAGACAAATTGAAAATCTAAACAATTTATCTATTCACAAAATACCTAAATATTATTTATTTGTATATGTGTGTATTTCACATTTTAATTTCTTTACACTGAAATTTTTGTAAAACTAAAGATTAAAAAAAAAAAAATGAAATCTAGAGCATTACATTAGATATAAAAATTAAAGACATAATGTTTCAGCAACTTTTATAGTATATATATATATATATATATATATATATATATATATATATATATAAATATATATGTGTGTGTGTGTATACATGCCCAAACTCGTGTATGAAGTTAAATATACAATTGATTGGAAAATTGGAAGCACAATTTAATATAATTTCATTTAACAAGGATTCTTACCCAATGGTAGTGAAATGAAAAATACTTAATAAAACTTCAATTGAATGACGAATAATAAAAACATAAATTAAAAAAAAAATTTGATTATATGGCTAACCATATAAACAGTGATATTTGAATTTAACATTAAATATAAAACTATTGTTACAAATTCAACACACATGTATATACATATTAAAATATATATACGTAAATTATTTCATATAAATTACTAAAATTGTATTAAATTAAAGTTCCTTTCATAAAAGAGAAATTCAAATAAACATATAGAAAAGATACAATAGCAATATACTTTACTAAACATTTGAATCAAAAGTTAATTCAATAATGTTATATATATATATATATATATATATATATATATATATATATATATATATATATATATGTTATATTATCTACGTGTATATATATATATATATATATATATATATATATATATATATATATATATACGTAGATAATATAATATAATATAAAATAAATAAATTAATATGTTTAGATATGTTAGAAACAATTATTTATTTCACTGTTTTGCTTTAAACCAAATCGAATGGTATAAAACTTATTGATTACTATCTTTAGTAACATAGGCATTTATTTTTATTTACTGTAAACTGAGTTGTCTAAGAATAAAACAATAAATAAAGACATAATACTGACAATGTACCACCAGCTACAGATTTGAAAATTATATTTAAAACTCCCTTTTTTGAGGAAACAAGCCCATTCAATTTATAAATATTTTTTAAAAGTTAATTTCTTTAATAAATAAAGTGTTACTTATATGTAATACTACAGAAATTAATACATAATACTGATACTGTAATATTTATTTTGCATAATACCATTACATTACACAATAGCACTGTATTTATATTTGATCAAGAGAATTTCTTTAATACTAAATTGAAAATTGTATACGTTTTAAATAAATTAAATAAAAATTCTTGAATACATAGTACAAACAGAAAATGTAATTATCCATAAAATTCTGATAACTAACATCACGCACATTCCCACAGCCTTTATTATATTAACACATTAAATGTGATGTGACAAAAGCTAGCATAATAAAAAAATGAATAAAAGACAAATGTATATATATGAAATATAATTCATAATATTTGGTGGTTACATTCATTTCCCTGAATCGAAAGTAAAACAAAAGTTGAGAAAGAAGTAAAGAAGTTAACGTATATACTTTGTCACAGTTTCTTGTTCAGAAATAAAAAAATATATAAACATATATATTTTTTAAATAAAAAATACTTTAAATATGCTTCAACTAAGACTGCAGTATATTAAGTAACTATTAGTATATAATTGTTCACATTATTTAGCAAGTGCATTAATTCAAACCAAAAGCACTGATCGCAAAAAAGAAATATATAAATAACAATATTTAATTTATTTAAGAAGGTCGTGAGCACGTTGGTTAGCGACAGCTATTCTTGTCTCATTAGATTCTCCCTAAATATTAAAATAAATTATTAGTTATAGAACTATGAAACACATTAACTTAATATTCATAGGAATATGCAAATAAATAGTTTCTGATTACTTTATAAACAAATTAAATAATACATGATTTCAACAAGATTTTATGAAAAGTTAAAAAATAAAAGTATATTAAATAAATCTTAAAGAAAATAATTAAATGGCCACTGAAAGGTAATAAAATGAATCTTTATTAAGATATTGAGGCTTTGTAAGGCATTGAGCAAATTTAAAACAATAATGAGGGCAATGATACCTAGAAACACATCTTAAAAAGAAACCACTTTCTTGCCACAGAAGTGGTCCTTGCATCTTTACTTGGCTAATGAATGGTTATAAAAGAAAACACACCCTTTTTAATGATATAAGATACTTTTAGAAAGTACCTGAAGTTTAAAGGTTAAAAACTGTTATTAGTTTAGAAGAGTACCCACCCTACTTTTAACAAAATAAAGCATTCAACACTATTAATCACTGAGATCATGAAGACCAAGCGCATTCAAATGAGGATGCCAGAGAACCTAGTTTGAAGCAGTCTTGGTTTAATTATCACGTGGGTCAGTAAATATTTATGTTGTCAGCCTTGAAAAATGAATCATGGTATTTCCACTCTGCTTAAAACTCGACAAAAAACTTCTAGTTAGTCATCTATGATTATTATACCATCGGATCAAACATTTGGCAAAAAACAAAACAAAAAGGGCCATTCGCTGGATGAATTCTCTCCACTAATACTAGTACTTCATTCTTATAATAATACTAAATTCATCCTTATATCACTTTTGATCAACATTTATTTTTAGTAGCCATTTCCAATACCTTCCTTTTAGAGCTACAAAGATTTTGTAAATCCTTTTTGCTCAATTTACCCATCAAGTTCCTTGTCACCTCTCTTATTTTTACCTACTGTTACTAGATCTTTCATAGTTCTCAATAGTGGAATTGAGGGAATTCCTACTAAAAATTTCAAACATTAACAGAAAAAAGAACACTCCACTTTTATAATTCCTGAATTCTTAAGCAAATGTAAACACAAATACTTTTAAGCATACGTAAATATAGATTATGTACTGATTCTTGTATTCCTACAGTTATACCATAACTTATTCTATTCCATAATGCATATTGCAATGTAATAATGAGGATTTATAAAATTTAATTGAGATTATAGAATTATTTTAGTTTTGTTAAATAAAATATATGTTTTAGTGTGTTCAAATTGTTTGACTATCCCTATCTGATTTATTTCAAAGTTAATGGTCCCAATTCCAAAACACCCTGAGAAGGTCAGCCGTGTTCCACTTGGGGAAACAAACAAATGAAGTGATCTATCTAAAACAAGTAGTGAAATAATAATCTATCATCCAAGAAAAGTAGAAGCCCAAGTTATAAATTTCTAAAATTAATTAACACCAAAACTGAATTAGTAGTATGGCCAAAATGGAGAGAGACCAATAAAATGTGCATAATTATTAAATGGAAATTTTAAAACAATTAGTTTGAAATTAAGATCCACAAGCTTAATAGCCCTGGAGCCAGGGCCCAAAAATCGACCTCATAGCAGGTGAAGGTTTGATTGTAAATTACGAAAGTGTATGTTATTCAGAGTAAAAAGAACCTTGTCTGCCATTCCAGAGCCGCTGCTTTTAAAAATAGATTTGATAAATATGGTAAAAATCAGCGTTGGTTGACCGCGGTTTTATACCTTACCACGTAAGTAAATTATAAAGTTTAGGTACTTGTTCGATGCACAATTTAACGTTCTTTAATTTATTATAGAGTGTACTTTTCGCTTTGATGCACTTTTCGTTTAGGAATTTTAGGTGAAAAAACAAAAACATATCGAAAAAATCTGTCTTTTTTGGCTGTAAAAAGTTTTTTCTTGGTGGCTCGTGTTAGCAATTTTGTATTTTACATTTCTAAACCCACATATACAAGTTAAAAAAATAAAAACTTTCCTCAGGTTTTTTGCAATGGATTTCCCGTTTTGATCCTCAAATTACTGGCCTAGTATTCTTTAAATCAGCCGCCATTTTTAAAAGCAGCGGCTCTGGAATGGCAGACAAAGTTCTTTTTACTCTGAATAACATACACTTTTGTAATTTACAATCAAACCTTCGCCTTCGATGAGGTCGATTTTTGGGCTCTGGCTCCAGGGCTATAAGGAAATCCCAGATACTTGTCAGCCATTTGAACAGAAATAAGCAATCTGACATAAATAATTATTATATCATATCATAGATTAGATACTATTTTTTATTTCTATTTGATATTAACTCCTGTTTAATTAATACTGGAAGTGGGGTAGTTCAGTGGTACGGAACTGAACTTACTTCTAATGCTCAAGATCCCAGGTTCGAATCCTGGCTCATGGAAGAAAATTTATTAATTCTGTTTCATTAGCCATGAGGCGATTCTGGGGTTGGGAGACCCTCCTGGTGTACACCCAGCACCTATAAAGAGAGTTTTTTTTTTTTGAGTGCGGCAAAAATGCACCACTGCCATGAAGGCCTATGTATGCCTCTATTAAAGTCATTCCTGTTAGAACGTAATTTCTGCAGTCTCAATAAACTGAATTAGGCTTGTTGGGTTGATAAGCTCATTTATCTTGGGATCAATGTTTAATAAACGGAATCTCAGTTCAGCAAATCTGTCGCACCAACAAGTGATATGATAGGCTGTTTCATCCTCCAAAATTAAATAATTAATTAAGGGGGAAAACCTAATGGTTGAGCATGATCTCGGTCAAATCAACTCTTTGTACAACAAGGAGACCAAGAAACAGTGCTTTCCCTAAATAGTACTGAACCCAAGACCCTTAATGGGTTGTAATGGAATAGGTTTTTTTCTTTAAATTAATACTAACTATACCAAGTACATATTTCAATAGTTCATAAATCTTAACTATATCACAGTGATCATCAACTAACATATGTCAAATTAAAATATTTACCTTACGATTGATCCTGTCAATTTGTCTGTTTTGGTTTTCTAATTCTGATCCCATATCAATAGCCATATTTCGTAAATTACCAATCATTGTATTTACTTGTGACATATTCTCTTCCATCTCATCTTCTCTAGCATCATTTGTGATCCTAAAAGATAATTCATAATGTCTAAAATTTAGAACTAATTTTCAAAATGTAAAATGAGTATGAAGCTAAGTTATATATTCAAGTTTAATAATAGTATGATATATTATATTACAATAATAATAATGATAATAATAGTAAAGTAAATAAAAAATGCATGCCATTAATACATGGGCATACAGTTTTGGTGTAATAAAATGGTCAACTACCAAACTTCAAGAAATGAACCGCTTGGTACGTACAATGATGACACATGCTAAGATTCATCATCCAAAGGCATCCATGGCAAGACTCTATTTGCCAAGGAAAGAAGGAGGCCGTGGTCTTACTTTGTTTTGAGGACTCTGGATACCTAATACAAGAAAACTCTCTGAAGGAATACTAGGACAAATATATCTCCAATCATCACCCGGATGAAAGAATTAGATGAAAGTTACACTGCCCTAAATTTTGGCGATTCGATTCGACCAGAAGAGAGAAATGTCGACTACTAAAAAACCAAATGGAAGGAGAAGGCGTTGCATGGCAGATTTTATTACCAACTACATGAACCTGAGATTGACACTGACTTCTCAGTAAGCTGGTTAAAAGCAAGGCAAATGTATGGTGAAACAAAGGAATTTTCTATAGCTATTCAAGATCAAGTTATCGAAACCAGAGCTTACAGAAAACATATATTAAAAGAAACAGATCAGGGAGGGATGCAAAGTCATTCCTCCCCTGGAAGTGTTTCAAAGAAAGAGGCTGAAAAAATTAAAAAGGCCGAATTAAAAAAGAAGCTCTCTGCAATTAGAAAAGGCGAGCGGAGGCAATTAAAAGGCAAGCTGAACGGGGAAGAGCTCTAAGAAGGCACAAACGGGAGGGTTGATGACATTTTTGTAGTAATGTGGAAAAAATGCCTGAAGCCTCCTGGTTAATAAAGATCATAGGTAATAACAACCACCTATCATTAGGAGCTTTAAAGAAACCAGACAAGTGGACCTCCAGCATTAAGGACACTATGACTCATTTACTGGAGATCCACTTTCCAGGTAATAAATAAAGACAATCCTCCTATCATAGACCCAAATGAAGAAGTCCTAACTAAAGAGGAAGAATGGACATAAGGGCTGAGGTTGCCGTTACCGAAGGGGCCATTAAATGGGCTGTGGGAGAGCTCAAACCATATATGGCCACGGGTACGGATGGTGTATTTCCTTGTATGCTCAAAGAGAGTCTTAACGTACTACTTCCTCAAATCAAAGCATTGTTCAGATCCTCACTTGCACTTAGATATATACCAGAGTCCTGGAGGAAATCATTAATAACCTTTATTCCTAAGAACTGCAAGGAGGATTACAGTGTTACTAAAGCCTATCGACCTATAAGTCTAAACTCCTTTGTATTTAAGATACTGGAGAAGTTGGTGGCAGTTCACTTAATTAATTAAGTGCTGCCTTATAATCCATTGCACCCAAACCAACATACTTATCTCCATGGAAAATCTACGGATACAGTCCTACACTCTCTTATAGGGAAAATAGAAAATGCTCTGCACTTTAAGGAGTCTGTGCTAGGACTCTTTTTTGACATAGAAGGGGCATTTGATAAGACTGAACCGGAAGCAGTTTGTAAAGCCTTAGTAAACATATCTGCCCTAACTGGACTTATCAGTTGGGTGAGATTTGTACTAAAAAATAGAATTATTGTTGTTTCAGAAGAAGTAGTCAGAATACAGGTGCGAGCGGTGAGGGGCTGCCGCCAGGGGAGTTGCATCTCACCACTGCTGTGGTGCCTGGTAATGAATGACCTATTAAATAGACTGGAGGAAGCTGGGATCTATGCCCAGGCAATCGTGGATGACGGCAGGATCCTCATCACAGGAAAGTTTATGAGTACCATTTTTGAACGAATGCAAGTTGCTTGCAACATTGTTCTGTCATGATGTACTCATATGAACTTATCAGCCAACCCATTAAAGACTGAGTTGATTCTCTTTACTAAGAAACGTAAACTGGATGCCTTCAAGGCTCCAAAATTTTTTGGTAAGCAACTTCAACTAAGACAGAACGTCAAATACCTTGGTATTACCATAGATTCAAAACTGAACTGGGGAATTTGACAAAAGTTAAAAGGAAAACTATAATAGTCTTTTGGCAATTAATACGTGCTGTAGGTATAACTTGGGCCTGCATTAGCATTACTGGGGCATTCTGCACTACACCTACAAAGGCTCTGGAAATCTTATTGTCATTGACTCCGGTACACCTATGGATAATAGGTGAGGTGGCTATAGGATTTTTAAGGATGAAGGATAATAGACAGTGAAAATTAACAGGGACACACACCGGCCACTTAGAAATAGCCAAGAAGGTGGAAAAAGAGTTAAATATCTTACGGTACTTCTCTTTGCCGCTTGATAAAAACCTTACTTTTGACAGTAAGGTTAGCTACCTGTAAGAGTAGAGGTACAATAGTGACTTACAAACAGCTGAAGAGCATTTGTGTTTTGTTATTTGACAGGTGTGCCAACTGCCCAAAAAAATTCCTCCAAATTGAAAATGTTGAATCTAAAAAATAAAATGTCACTTTATCTCCAAAACAAGAGCTAATCTGTCATTTTTATGGTGATTTTTGAATTCAGCAGATGGAAATACATATGAATTGACTGTTTTTGAACCCAAAACATTTTCATTGTTGCCCAGTGTTATCAATTCTTTTATTGCTGCTCAAGTTACAAAAAGGTCTTGTAATATTACATTGTCTTGGATTGACTACCGTAACGCCTTTGATTCGGTTCCACATAATTGGCTACTGGAAGTGTTGAAAATCCATGAAGTAAACCAGGCAATAATAGATCTATTAAAATGACTGATGAAAATTTGGAGGGTCTCAATCTCCACACCAACTTTGAACTGAATAAGTGTCAATGAATACATATCTATAAAGAGAGGTATTTTTCAAGGGGACTCCCTTAGTCCTCTATGGTTTCGTTTGGCACTTAATTCACTTAGAAAATTATTGGAAGATACAGAAAAAGGATACCTACTTGAAATGAAGCTCTCTCATTCATTCTATATGGATGATCTCAAGCTTTACCCTAGTAATGAAGAAGAAATGGAAGCTCTTCTGAAGACAGTAAGAACGTTCAGTAATGATTTAAAATGGATCTAGGAATAGACAAATGTGCAATATTACACGAGAAAAGAGGAAGAATTATTAAAGAGAGTAATATTGAAATATCAGAAAATGTAATAGTGAATCAATTAAGAGAATCTGATTCTTACAAGTACCTTGGAGTACACTAAATCCTGAAATTTAATGCTAATTGAAAGAAAAACTTTGAGAAAGAATTTAAGTACCACGTTAAATTAGTACTTAAATCACATTTAAATGGAAGAAATTTGATACTGGCATTGAATACCTGCTTTAGCTTACTCATTTGGAATACTGTAGTGGACAAAAACTGATTTAGCTTTGAATTTACGAAGCCCTGGGATCCAGATTAGTGAAGCAGATGATAACACTCTATCAGAAATATGGAAAAAAAACTCATTAATGGATGCAGGAGTGGACACTGAGGCGTCGTTGACATGGCTGAAGAGTGGTAGTATCTTTCCAGAAACAGAAGACATGTATGTGGAGAGGGCATCAATGACTTAGGTCGCGTATGCATAAAGGCAGTTGAATAAATTAAACATGTAACATCAGGATGTACAATACTTGCGGGTAAGGAATACTAGCTGAGACACAAAAATGCATCTAATGTAGTGCATCAAGCTGTGGCTCAGAAAATGGAACTCATGGATAAATATTATCCGTATTATAAATATCATCCAAAACCAATCATCTCCAAGGGATCAACCAATCCTGACAGATCACACCATCCCTTACAATAGGCCTGACATGCTTGTAATAGATAAAGGTAAACAATCTGCATTTATCATAGAGATTGGCGTTCCTTCTAATGATAACATACACAAGGTTGTAGCGAAAAAAAAGAGAAAGTACGTAGAAATAGCTGTAGAGATAAAACAATTGTACCGTTTAAAAGAAATCCGAATTATGATCTCATGCAACAAACTGATACCAGAGGAAACTCCAACTTCTTTGAAGCAACTAGACCTACCATCTAGGATGATCAAAAAAATGCAAAAAGCAGTATTGTTGGGAACAGCAAATATCATCAGGAAATTCACAAATATTAAAGAATTATGAAAATATATAAATGTAATTTTTGGCTGACCTAATAGGTCCCCAACTATTACGTATTATAAATACCACTTATATGTGAAAAATAAACAATATATAATAATAATAATCCATGAGGAGTTGCTAGTCTCCCATTGGGCGCTACCCCAGGTGGAGGATAGGGGAACTCTCACCAGATATGATGGGTACAGGGGAAATAAAATAGCAGGGGCGGACCAAAACTAGTAAAATCCAGGTGTGACGGTTCCCAAATTGGTCAGTGTCTGTTCCCCATGTCAGAAGCGGCTGTTTAAATCACCTATGCACTTAACCATTAAATATGGAGCTACGAAATAGAATATTAGCCTCGACAAGCCCAATACTGAAGCTGCATCTAACGGGAACAGTAGACAGCTTCCTTCAGGGACTAGTGGAGCGAGCAGCACTATCCTGTCGTCATGGATCACAGTGTTGCAACATATACTGGCCAACAGTTCAAGTTTGAGCTTAGAGGAGACGTTCTCCACCCACACGAAATCGGCAACAGAAACTAAGAGGTGCAAAGAGGATGAAATGGATGTCAGACATGAACAAGACTGTCATCCGGGCATAATACTTGGCAACAAACCTTGAAATTGAAAAAAAACAGGAAATCTTAACCATATACAGAGATACTAGCGCGTGACTTTTCCAGATGTTAATATATGAAATTAAATGAAAAAATAATTTTATTCTGGGACTAAAGTCCCCTAAGAATAATTATAACATGGTACAAAATATTGGTCTTTTAGTCTGGTTTGACAGAATACTAAAAGGTCATTTGGATGTTAATTTCATAATATAATATAATATAATAAACAACATAAGCAGGCAGAGAATGAGGGATCAGGAGAATTTTCTTATCCCCATGGACCTCCAAAAAATTAGAGAGGAAGCTCGCAAGTTAATATTAACTGAAAACAAAGTCATATGCGGAAAACATGTCTTGAAGCATCAACACACCGAACAGCACACCAGAGAAACAAAAAGAAAAAGATATAGATCTTGAAAACAGATTGAGTGAAGCAGTCTTAAACGGAACATATTATGCTTGAAGGAATTCCGGTTTTGGAACGTCCATCATCACCACGAGTGACATATAACAAGGCCACACTGAGAATAACTGATGCGATGAACAATGTTCTTAACACGTTAGCTGCAACCGCATCTAACATGTTAAGACATGGTCCCGGGTATCTATCAGATATAATGATTATTAACGTTTTTATATATTTTTACATCTATCCAACTCCAGTTCATATATTTTTTAAAATGACCATTTTAGAGACTTCATAAAATACACAAAATTTGAAACAATCCAGGCCGAAATCGAGACGAATATCGGAAACCGGGGACCATAACCGCAGCTAACATGTCGAAGATCATTTAGACTTAATTAATGGCTTTAAAGATATTCCTCATTGGTTATATATTGCTGCCAAGTCAGTTATAATGGAGCTTGGTATAAAAATAGATGACAAAACAAACTTCCAGAGGGTTGTAAAGAAATTCCAAAATGGAAAAAAAGACTTTAAAAGAAAATTAACATCTTAAAGGAGAAAACTGGCATCATTTCAAACTATATTCGTAATCTACAAACTGCAAGAGCCAAGAAAAAGAAAAAGATAGACGAAAGGAAACACCCCTTGGTTAATGCAAGAAACTTCCTATTTACAATATGCTTTTGAGATGCAAGAGGTAACAATTGAAACACAAGATGTTACGGAAGCTGTTGGAAAATGAAAACTTGGAGAACACCTGGTCCAGATTGAGTCCAAAACCACTGGATAGAACGATTTAGGTGCTTGTATGAATTGTTGGCCAATAGTTATTAAGAAATATTGGATGGCAAGCAGGATCCTCCTACTGGTTTCTCTGATGGAATCACGTATATGGTCTCGAAAAAGGATGAATTAAACTTGCGTTCTGAAGATTTCCGGCCAATAACATGTTTAAATGGTCTCCATAAGATTTTAACTTCCATCTTGGCGACAAAGATTTATAAACACTTAGATCTGAGAACATGACACCCTCCGAACAGTGAGGGTGCAAGAAAAGGGCTAGGGGTTACAAAGAACTTTTAGTAATTGATTCCTTTATTGCCGCACAAGTGTCAAAAAGCCAGCAAAACCTTTCTGTAGCGTGGATTGATTATAAAAAAGCTTTCGATTCTGTACCACACAGTTGGCTGCTCAAAGTATTGGAAATATACAAGGTTCAACCTAAATTAAGCAAACTTCTTTCAAATTTAATGGTTGACTTGACTACTAAGCTGAAGATAGGAGCAATCTGCTCTAATAATCAAATTAAAGTTCTTAGAGGCATCTACCAAGAAGATTGCCTTAGTTCTCTGTAGTTTTGTATGACACTGTTCCCATTAAGCCAAATACTCAAAAGGAGCAAGATGGACTACAAACTTAACATCAAAGACGATGAGGCCACAATCAGTCACAGTTGGTATATGGATGACTTCAAACTGTAAGCGAAAAATGAATAGCAACTACAGAACATGGTTGAAACTGTATCATCCTTTACCAGTGATATAGGTATGTTATTCGGACTTGATAAATGCGCAGTGCTTCATATAAAAAAGGGAAGAAAGATTAATACCCAGAACATTCTGAAAAACGAAGAAGATAAAATTAAAGAACTAGAACCACATCGATTAGATAAATATTAAGGCATGCAAAAAAACCTTAAATCTTGATTCATTGAAGATTCCATGCAGTTGATGTTTATCACACAGTTACAACAATCTCCCCCAAACAAAAAAAAAAATAAATAAAATATATATATATATATTTATTTACATGCGATTTTTATTCATGTAGTTCATCATCATAATTATCATTGATATGATAATTACATATATATATATATATATATATATATATATATATATATATATATATATATATATATATATATATATATATATATATATATATATGTGTATATAAGGCTAAGGCGCTTGCAATAGATAATCAAAGTTAAGCAATGCCGAGCGTGGCTAGCACTTGGATGGGTGACCGTCCACCAAGGAAAGCCAAGCTGCCCGAGATTCCTCCCACCACCCAGGTATGTGAGGCCATCAGCCTACTGGAGGCAACTCACACCAACCGGGCATAGGATTGATGACCCTACCCTGTACTTTAAATCGGGAATCAGGATGTGGTCTCTAGGAGACCACACTCGCAGTCAAAGATCTTCATGGTCTGTAGCGCCAACCGAAAAAAGAAATATATATATATACCCAAGTCCTTAAATATATAATATATAAATGATAGTTATGATAAAGAGTTACATACAGTATATATGATATAAAATCAACCAATAAATTATAATGAAAAAAAAGTAACTAATGCAAATCTATAATTTCTAATATTACTTGGCAATATATCCTCCTTGTGGTCCTAGGCCATTTCGATCATCCATCACTCGTTGTGGCTGATTGTTTACAACTTTTCCATCGTCATTTCCTCTCCACGTGCCTTCATCTTCTTTGAATGATGCACCTCTGAAGAAGATAGTAAATGATAATGAAAGGCTAAATTATCTATTGTAAAAATAATCAAAATGTTTAAATTAACCACAAGCCAAATTTTTTACTCACCGTCAATCTTTCACTATAAAGAAGTAATTAAATAAATAACATCTAACACCTTTAATGAATTAACTTTTTGTATAGAATTTTCATATAAAATATTAAACACATTAACAGAGCTTACAGAATCATATAAAAGAATGTGACAAGGGCACATTATGCCCAAGTGATTTTATTTTATAAATGGCCAAAAGGGCTGAAACATTTAATAAAATAAAAAATAAAGCAGGACTAAATAATCAAATATAATCTATATATCATATAATCAAATATTTATATATATATATATATATATATATATATATATATATATATATATATATATATATATATATATATATATATATATATATATATATATATATATATATATATATAAGTGGGTCTGTATGGATTCGAACAAACATATGTTCTATAAAATCTATAAAACAGTCAAATTTAGGTCTTATGGGAGAAAGTGAATGAGATAAAATAGAAGACTTAAAATAAATACCCAGAAATTAGGATTAAAAATATCACTCACAAAGACCAAAATAATGATGAAAGATAAAATGACAGTGGAAAAGGTTAAAACAACATGTATAGAAAGAAAGATGGTGAAATAATTTAGGTATTAAGTAAATGGGTAAATTATAATGGGAAGAAAAGGCAACTAATGCAGATTAATAATAATAATAATAATGTTTTATTTATTCTGGGATGAATCCCTTTAGAATAATTAACACAAACAAAAATGTGGGCTTTTGAGCCTTAGATATATATACATGTATTTAGAAAGTTAACTAATAGATATAATGGAGAATAAAGAAAAAAAAAGTTATCTTCTAGATTAAATCAATTAAGAAAAAAGTAAATAAATGAAAGAACAATGAGATGAAAATAAACTAATAATATATATACATATTTACAGAAGTTTCTATTTACAATTTTAGAGGGACTGGATGGAAAGAAGATAATTGAATAGGCAGGATTTAACAGTAGGGAGAGAATTGGAGTGACGGATGTCGGGGGGGGGGGGGGGGGGGATGGAGTTCCATAACGATGAGGATCGGATAATAAAAGAATTATCGAAAGCAGCGGTTGGGTGGGCCATTATATATAAATCTGAAGACCGGGAACAGGTATTGCGGGAGTGGACAGAAGATTTAAATTGAAAGAGCTCGGAGATGTATGAAGGGCGGCAGTAGTGAATGACTTGGAAGAGGAAGGAAGCCAGGAAATACTTATGGCGGTAGTAAGGATAAAGCCACTTCAACTTTTCATAGAAACAGGAAACAGGGGCGTCCCTTGGGATCCCGAAGATGAATCGTACAAAGCAATTCGTCAAACGTTTTAGTTTCGCTTCGAGATCCCCAGAAATGCCTCCATATACCGTGCAGCAATAGATTAAAAGAAAAGTAATGTTATATTAATCTCAGCAGGAATTCACAAGAGGGATAGGGGTAGCTCAGTGGTAGGGCACTAAGCTTCCAATGCTCAAGGTCCCAGGTTCGAATCACAGCCCATGGCAGTAAAATTCTCAGTAAAATTATTTATTCTGTCTTATTAGCCGTGGGGCAACACTGGGGGTAGGGAGACCCTCCTGGGGCACACTCAGCCTCTGATAGCAAGTGGGTACCATTAATTAAATAATTGATTTAGGGGTTGTAGTGGTTTTGCAAATACTAAACATATTCAAATAATTAGGACTAAAAAACGATTTAATGATAAATCTGTAGAATTTATATTCATAGAAAAAATATGTTTCCAATGAATAAACAACTAAAATATATCTAATAAGAATAATAGATAATTAAACAATGTAGTATATACAAAAATTACACAATCATTCTGGTTCAGAAAGCCAATTAAGAGTTGGTACTTTAAATACGTTTTAATCAATAAAACATTAAAAGCTATGTGTTTTCTTTTTAATTAAAATAAATAATACAAATAGTATATTACTATAAGTAATTAATATATTACTGACTTGTTACATGGTAAGACACATAAACCACAGCACTTTTCCATTCCAGTCAAGTTTTTCTCTGCTTCTCGCATGTCAGCATTTATTTGATCCATTCCTTCTTCAATTCGATCAAGTTGTTCTAAATATGATAAAATAGTTTTGATCAAAAATCTTTTATATACATATACATATAAATACTAATTATGAACCAAAAAAATAAAATTAAAAATTAAACAATTATACAGTTCAACAATCAATGAAAAGAAAAGAAAAATGACTTTTAAGCAGACCATTAGCCCACAAATTTCCTATCAAAATAATATGAAAATTGACACAATCAGGTAACTTTCAATATACTGATTTATGAATGAATATATATATATATATATATATATATATATATATATATATATATATATATATATATATATATATATATATATATGATGGTAAAGAAACTAGATTGATGTTATTTAAAGAAAAATTAATCAACAAAATCTTTTTTAAGAAGCATAAAATAAAAGTGATATAAAATATACGTTGAATGAATAATTCAACATAAAAAAAAATCAGACAATATTTAACAATTTAATTTTTTTTAGATTGAATAAAATTAATTTAAACAATTATTAATTAAAGTTAAAACAATAAATAAAAAATAGACAACTAATGAAACTTGTTTAATTTTAAACTTGAAATTCAATTTTAGAAAAGAATATGAATCATCACACATATATTTCTTTAATTGAAAAAAAAAAGAAGTTATATACTGGCAATACTTTATGGCTGTTTGTTCATTTTATGACCTTTTAGAGGCCGATAACTTTTAGCTTAAATTATATTATTTTAACATATCTTCTTAATACATAGGCAATCCTTCTCTAAACCAAAATTAAACCCTATGTTCATAGGGATAGTTGAAACATTTTCAATAAAGAATACAATTTCATTAAATTGCTTAATTATTTATCAACTGTCATTTCATGTCTGTTGTTATACATAAAATCAACAGTAGGGTAATGTGGAGGTCGGTGTGCATAAATTTTTACTAAATTTGACTTTGAATAACTGAAAGAGATAACATTCAGATATTACAAATGTAGTGGCTGTTCCAGATGATCCACACCAGACAAAAAATACCTTCATGTTGTTCACATGCCTCCAACTGAAGAGAAATATTTTTATTACTAAAATATATATTGTAGCTTTATGATAATAAAGCTTTGTAAAAGGTATACTGATCATTTAAAAATTATAAGTAATTGATATTTGGCATGACGCACTGTGGGGCCGATCGCCGATCTAGGGTAAAGACAACTTTCAAAATATAAGGAATGTAATATACCATTTTATAGATAGTTGGTGACCTGAAAATTGGCCTAATAAAATTTCATAGTTTGCTTAAACTCTCACGGTAGAGTACAGAAAAGTGAGGTTTGGGGGAGCAAGTCTACAGTGCCACCAGTTGACAAATAGCTCCAGCATTACTTCATTTATTGTTTAAATCAGGGCCTGTGTATGGTATTGCTAAATACTGCTTTTGATATTTCAGGTAAACTATCTTGCTTTTTCACTGGATTAATTTAGGTTCAACCAGTTTGATGTTGGTAACGATTGCACTTAAAAAATGGCTATGATCAAATCTTTGAAATACTTAAACACTTATATAGTCTATAAAATACTCTTCCCAGTATCCCGCCGCTACAGTTTTTTTTTTTCATTTTGTAGCACTTTTTATATTCTTTCAAAAAATAATCATCAAATTTTGCACAGCTTAGCACTAAGGACTGTTTTTTTTCTCTATTATTTCAGAAAATATGAACAAAAATTCTGAAATCAAATATTTGTAATCTTATGAAAACTTTATAAATTATATAATAAAACATATACAGATTTGAAAGACAATCTAGCCCTATTTACACAAAAAAAGTATTGAGCATTGGAAAAATGCTCAGAAAATGATTTTTTTTTTTTTTAAATAATGTATCAGCATATTTTCTGGACCTGATCAAAATTGACAACAAACACCAGCATTCTGGAGGGAACAGAGAGACCGAATAATGTTTTTCTGCTTACTTTGAAAAAACTACTGAGTAGAAAGTACAGGATATAATACAGCAGGGGTGTCCAGAAGGGAGTGTGGCACAAGTTACGCCATCAAAATTTCGAGGGAGCACATTTTTACAGGAATATCGATTTTTGAGGGGGGCAAATATTTATAGACTGTGTATACAAGGGGGAAAAATGAAGGAAATAAAAGGGAAAATTAGATGGCAGTTAGGAAGCACTTATGAGGGACTTCAATGAGCGGGTGAGCTTTCTAATAGTGTTGATTGAAAGGTTGAGGTAACAGAATAAAAAAAAGTGAATACTTCTATACTGGTTTCCTTTTTAATAATGTTAGTTTTTTAAATTAATTCTTAGGAATTATGATTTTACATTATAGTTTTCTTCAAAATTAAATTCATTTTGACATAATTAAGACTATAAAAGTTTTATTTGTGACAAATACCTGATTTTTATTCGAAAAATAAGTGCAGAGAATTTTATCCTCCTAGATTGGCCATCAACCCCACTGTGTGATGATATGATTACATCAGAATCCTAAAATCTTAACAAGAGCTTCTCAAGAGTCCAACTGGTGATTAGTATACCAGTTTTGTTTTTAATTACTCTCCATTTTATTACTGAATCCTTCCACCCTGTTCACCCTAAATTTAATGGGTATAGGCACACCCATAGCCTTAGGCCTGGATGCTCATCTGTCTGCTTGTTGTCCTAAATACAAATTCTGAGAGTTCATTTCCTAGAAGAGACTCAACTCTTCATTTATAGTAATCATCCTATGAGATCTTAAGGCACATCCATTACCTCACAGAAATATAGAGATTTGGGAATTCATCATTTTTAAACCTATCCTTGTTTCATTAAGACCTTTATAAACCTCTCCTTGTTATATTAAGATCTATGTGTAAACCTTTCCTTGGTCCATTAAGACCTTTTAAAACCTCTCCTTGTTCCTTCAAGACCTACCAGTGAACACACTTTGCTGAGGCCGTCTAATATCTGTCTCACACACCCTTGACACATATAAGCCCTCGTTTCAATCACTTCCATCTTAGTGGGATTAATAATAAATTTAGTAGCATGTAGTAGGCAGTTGTCCCTACTTAGGTAGTAAGAACAGGGTATTTGGAAGACTTATTCAAGCAGTAGCGGCGGTGGAGCAAGTAGTTTGTGTCGAGAAGACTATTTTACTGATATAATCATCAAAAAAAGTTATAATGTCTGGAATTCACATTTTACAATCATCAGTAAAAGTCATGAGATTGGAACGTGGAACATAATTGAAAAATGTATAGAAAACAAAGAACTTCACTATTTCAATGTACTAGTCCAACTTTGCTCTGCAAAAAATAATAGTAGGAGTAAATACAAACATATTCTGCTGAGAACACTGCGTTCAAGCACTTAAAAACTAGAAAACTTTCAAGGAGAAATGTAAATCACAAAGTATCTTAATGAACAGCTTTTGAAGGTTCCACTCACTACAAAAATTATTTTTAAAAACAACAAAAAAAAGCATGCCTAATGGTAGATAAACATCGATACACATGTATAAGAGAAATTGATAGATCCAACTTGATGAACAGATTGGCACTTATTTCTTTACAACTCATTATACTTCACCTTCAGGAAAACTTATGCAGCTGATTTTTGAAACATCAGTGTTTATAAATCATCTTCTGCAGAGGACAGCTCATACCACTTCATGCTTTGGATTCAATGAAACGATTACACACACCCTGAAACGCATATACCCCACATTACCCTAAATAAACTTTATTCCTCCTTAGTATAGCTAAGTTATGATTATGAGTAGAACATATTCTTTAACTTCAACAGAAATAAGCACTTCTTGCCCAGAAATTATAAGGCTTGTATGATAGCACCATTGAGGAATATCAAAAAATACTACAAGGGACCAGATGCAGAATGAGACAGTTAGGATTCAACTAAATACTCCAGTTACGAAAGAGACAACTGGATAGAAACACCAAGGGTAATAGGGACATGTTTACTGAATGAATCAGGATCTCAGAAGATCATAGACAATTTAGAAGACCACAAAAATGTAAGCTACATTCATTGGCATCAGATTATAAGGAAGATCCAGATTGATGTTTAAAAGATATATTCTTAAGTATATCTTGCTTGGTATAAAGACAATGGTACGGTAAACCTTGGCAATAACAGGAACAAAGAGAATAGTAATGAATATAACATCCAATAATCAATGAATTCTGTTTCAGTAATTAAAAATAAATTTAAATATAGAACAACTATATTTATATTAAAAGTACATTTAACAAGCCACGGGTCTGTTGAAAGTAGGATCATTTTATTAAAGTAACCAAAATTAGCTCTATCAAAAATGTTGTTTACCTCTTTTTTTTTCATAATGAAACCAAATATTTTTTTAAAATTGAGGGACTTCATGCGTGAAAATTGTACAGTAATCAGATTAAAAAACGAAGAAAGAAAAAGTAATTTCACTCATTTTGAACAAATAATAACTAGATTTGATTCTCAGTACTCCTGGGGCACCTTGTGCACTAGAAATGAAAACGCACAACAAATCCACAATGCTAAAAAAAGCTACATTCAGCAAAATTGGGCTACAAAACGTTAACTCGCAGGTAAAAAAAAGGTGTAGTTTAAGGGCTACAATCATGTACAAAGGGCAATTAGTGACATGGGATTACAATGTGTTGTAACGGCTTGTAAGAAATAAATAAACATAGTTTGCAGCAAAAACAAAAACATTATGGAATTAATAGAAACAAAGGTATTGGAGGAGAAAAGTAATTATATAATTATGTTTTTAAAGATAAACCAAGTTTTTATGTTTAAATAAGCAGTTTACATTTAATAATTTATTAATTGATAATAATCAATTTTTTTTTTATAAATTTGTACAAGATATTTTGTAATTACACAGATTTCAAAAATAAAATTTCTTTTAATTTTTCATGAAAATTTCAGAAAGAAATTAAAATATATTGTATACTAGAAATCTATGTATTTTACAATATATTATGTAAAAACTAATAAAAAAGATAAACTAGAACAATCTTT